TCTTGCCTGTCTTCTTATGTCCAAGGACTGGGTGTTCCCACTAGAGGTGGTGAAGAACTCTGCTATTACTTCACAGCTTTCAGCCTCACCATAATCATGGAACAGAACCTAGGAAGGTAACGGGAAGTCATCATTTGTTATCTTTGCTGCTGACAAGTTTTTAAAGACCTACTAACATGGGCCATACGCAGGTTAATGTTGCGAACCTATGGATTTCAAGAACCATGAGCCATTTTTCTGATTCCTAATTTGGAAAACAAAGATATAATGAGCAACCAAGTTTGTGCATCTCAGCATGCTGATATTTTGCTGTTAGCTTAGTAGTGTTTGTGCAAGGCAAAAAGTAGAAGGTGGTCATTCCATTTTCTTCAATCTACAGAGAAATGAAGAATATCCTAGTACTTCAGGGGGGTCACTAGCCTCAGGTCACCAGTACCTCTGTCAGTGTCTCCAGGAATAATACAAATGAAACTTTACAGCATAGCCAGCAAAAGGTCTGCATGGTTTGGATTTTTTTTAAATAACTTTATTAAGATGCTCTGGATAGAGATATATCCTCTTTGCTGAGTTTTATTATAATTATTTCAATCCCTTTGAAATATGAGCTGCAAATGCTCGGATATATGGACTGAAACAATGACGATGACCATCCCGAAAACTATTAATGAAGACCACAGCTGTGAATTTCCAGCGTTTCTTCCATAACCTAGATTCTAGACAGCAGAGCCTCGCTGATTTGTGCTGATGGCCCAGCAGTTATTGTGGGTTACAACATTGTCACATTTCGTAAATAAGCGATCAAAACACATCGCACCTGGGGAGTTTGTTGCGTCAGGTGTGCCTTCCTTTTAGTTCTGTTAGACTTCAGTGGACTGCATGTGTCATACAGGATAAGGTGTGAACATCAGGGAGACCAAGTGATATAAACCCACATGAGAAGCAGCGAAGTTCTGATGCTCTGAGATGGCGACGGGGAGGGAATTCTACCAACCTCCAGGCAGGACCAGAGCGGGGCGCACTCTACCATCCCCCCAGCAGAGACAGGGGGCGGTTCATCTCTCCAGCACGCTACTACCTGAATAGCCGCCCAGCTCCCAGCGCAGCTTCCCGGCTAGGCCAAGAGTCTCCTCGTCTCTATGGTAACCCCGGGCACAGGAGACAGAGCGGGTGCGAGAGCTCCTCTTCTCGTGAGAACCTTAAACTCTGGCACGAGTTCTCGAGCTGTTGCCTGTTGCCATGGAAATGCAGGGAAGCAGGTTGAGGCTTGTGTTGTCTCTGAGGGGCCTGCTGCACCGAGGCGCTGCCTCCCGCCCAGAGGAAATATATCGGGGCCTTTGCCATATTAGGTGCACTGAGTTCTGCCAGTCCTCAGAGGCAACTGCACAGCAGCCCCTTGCCTACCCCTTACCCACAGGGGTACCTGGGCCAGTCAGTGCTACCAGGAGAGGGGGTAAGGGTGGGGCTGGTGACCCAGTCACGTCTGGGGCACTGGGAGTCACCCCTATTCTCAGATGGGTGTGAGGGCAGTTTAGCTGGGCTGGGGCAGTTAAGCGCTATCGTAGAGACCCCCAGGACAGGGGATGGGGGCAGGTGGACCAGTTCTTCCTTGGGGGGAGCCAGGGAGATGGAGGTCAGGGCAGCAAAGGTGAATTCTTCAGCACCTATATGGATCTTTGTTTCCCATGATCTGCCTCGCAGTGTTGCCAACTCCTACCATTTTATCATGATATTTGGGGGGTTTTCTTACAACCCCAGCTCCTGGAGTCATGTGAGTGTAAGAGAATCTCAGGACCTCAGGGAAGAGCTTTAAAACGTGACCCAAGTATATTTGAAATGCTCCAAAACCAGAAGGCAAATAAAAAGAAGCCAAATTTAAAAAACCCAACATGTTTTTTAAGACAAGTCATTATTTTGGAGGCCTGACTCATGATTTTTGAATGCTTGGGGTTATCATTATTAGGTTGATCTACCACTTCCCCCACCTCCACTGCCACTACAGAAGCCAAGAATTACAGCGATAGCAACACCCAAACAAAAACAGTTTCAGAATAAAAAAAATGCATGGGGAAAAAACCCAGCTGGGATCCACTCATTGAACACAGCAGCTCTTTACAAGAATTGAAGAACTCTTTCTTGGTAGACATGGCCCAAGAGGGTGTTTCAAGCATAAGGAACAGCATTAAAATAAGACAAGTGTAATTATACTTGCTTATACCACTACCCCAGGGCTGGATTTGGGCTCAGAAAGAGCACCACTAATAGAGTGGATTGAGCAGGACGCATGGGTTGGTGTAACAAGCCTCCAAGTTGGGACAAAAAGGCTCATCTATAACAAGGGCAGTCTCATCAGGCCTGTGCTCATCAAAAGCTGATGCCATTTGCTGGTTGCTCAGTGGCCTCTGTGGAAGGTGGTACTGGTCTCAGTTCTAGTGGACCAGTGCTACTTGTGGCACCAACAGATCTCAGCAGGGGCCAAGAACGGAATGATCCACTGAGTCTGAACCACGTTTATGCAGCGTGGACTCTGAATCTGGGTTTGAGTCACATAAGTGAAGCAATTTGGTAGAAGCTTGTACTGCTGCCACCTCTGCAAGGACTTATTGTGTGAATAAGAAGGAGCCTTCAGTTTTCAAGGCTGCCAAGGCAGCGGCTTTCCACCACCAGTCTGAAATTCACTTATAAAAAGTTCTGCTTGTCTAGAAAAAAGTGAGCAGGACTCTGTAGCTGGAAGCAAGCCCAACCTGTGTGTGTGTTGGGGGGGGGCAGCATTTTGCTGGCCAGTGAAAGGTCTGTCAGAGCTGGTCGCTGTGAGCCCACAGCTGGATCAGGGTCTCTTTCCCTTTTGGGGGGCACAGGAGTAGGGTTACCATACGTCCGTATTTTCCCGGACACATTCAGCTTTTTAGTTCTTAAATTGCCATCCGGGAGGAATTTTTAAATATCTAAAAACGTCCGGGAAAATACGAACGTATGGTAACCCTAAGTCCAAAGTCCCGGGGCTGGCGGCGCTTCCTGGGGCAGCTCCTGGTGCCCGCCCGCCAGCAGGAGCCTGCAGTGTGGGCAGCCCCTAGGCACAGAGGTGGAGGGGGTCTCCGCGTGCTGCACCAGCTCCCTCCTGCCCAATCAGAGCTGCAGGGGTGGGGCTTGTAGGCGTCAGCAGCGGGCAGAGAGCCCTCCACCCCGCCCCCCCAATCCAACCCGACCCTAGGAGCCAGAGGGACCTGCCAGATGCTTCCCAGGAGCCGCTCCAGGTAAGAACCGCCGGGACTCCTCACCTCGCCCCCCGGCAGGTCCCTGTGGCTCTTAGGGTCGGGTCGGGGGGCGGGGGCGGAGGGCTCTCTGTGTGCTGCTGGCGCCTGCAAGCCCCGCTCCACGGCTCCGGCAGCCCCCATTGGCGCTTTTCCCGACCAATGGGAGCCACGGAGCTTGCGCTTGTGGCGGGCGCAGCACGTGGAGACACCTCGGCTGCCCCTGATCCTAGGAGCCAGAGGGACCTGCGGCAGGAGGGGTGAGTAGGCGAGCGAGGCGGGGTGAAGAGGCGAGAGGTGAGCAGTGGGGGTTGAGTAGGTGGGGGGTGAGTAGCTGAGTGGGGGTGTGTGAAAAGGCCAGCGACGGGCAGCGGGGGTTGAAGAGGCGAGCAGCGAGGGAGCTAACGGCGGGTGGGTGGGTGGGCAGGGGTGAGGAGGCAAGCAGCGGCGAGCCAGCAGCAGACAGGGGTTCTTGGGGCGGGCATGGGGGTTTCTGGCAGGGGAGTGAGAAGGCAAACTATGGCCCGTGGGACCGTCCTGTCCGGCCCACCTGAGCTCCCGTGTGGGGAAGCTCCCCCGGCCCCTCCCCCGCCTTCCCCCCTCTCGCAGAGCCTCAGCGTGCCGCGCCGCTGGCACCAGCGCTCTGGACCGCTCCTGGGCAGCTCGGCAGCTCCTGCCGCTTTGAGTGGCATGGTAAGGGGATGGGGCTGCGAGCTCCAGCGGGCCGCGAGGCATCCCTACACACTGCCGTAAGCAGCATGGTAAGGGGGCCGGGCTGGGAGGAGGGGTTGGATAAGGGGCAGGGAGCAGTTGGAGGGGGTGGAGGTTCGGGGGGGGGGCGGTCAGGGGACAAGGAACAGGGGTTGGGTAGGCGTGGGAGTTCTGGGGGTCTGGCGAGGTGGTGGTGGATGGGGTGGGGGCAGTCAGGGGCCAGGGAGCGGGGAAAGTTGGGTAGGGGGTGGGCAGTTAGGGTGGGGAGTCTTGGGAGGGGGTGGTCAGGGGACAAGGAGCAGGGGGGTTTGATGGGTTGCAGGTTCTGAGGGGTGCAGTCGGAGGCAGGAAGTGGGTGGGGGTCAGATAGGGGGCAGGGACAGGCTATTTGGGGAGGCACAGCCTTCCCTACCCAGCCCCCCATACAATTTTGCGACCCCGCTATGGCCCTCGGGCCAAAAAGTTTGCCCACCCCTGCACTATTAATACTCCTACCTATTCTAGCCAAACGAATTCTGTCCTGAGATTGGCCCACGTGTTTTGGACTGTGTGGTTCCAGGAATCTCCAGCAGCAGTCAGTTTTGGCAAGGTCCATGCACTAATTGAAACCTATGTGCGGACCAGTGTGAAGAAGATGTTAATGTTTTGCAAGACCCTTAATTATTGACTAGGATTCAAGAATATACACAAATCTAAATGAGGGAGGTTTTTTGGGCCAGGAGGTAGTTATAATAGGCTACAGCCGTTCAGGTGAATGCAGAAGTTTTTGGCTCCCAGGCCTGTACTCAGATTACTAGATGCTGATGCCTCTCATGTTTATTGTACTTTAATCACTTGCTTTTGCCCACTCTCCCACTAAGCCATTTTATTAGTACAACAGCACACTCCAGGTTGTACACTGAGTGTATCAAGAAACTCAATTGTACCCTGGATTGTGTGTGTGTATTTTATATATATCTCTATCTTTCTACTGAGGTCACCAACAAAACTTGTATTGACTTAAATGGGAGCAGAATTGGGCAAGTCTTGTTTTTGCTTCTTCCTTACCTGATCTTCCCATTTTCAATTAGAACACCCACTACAGGGAAATACATTGAATAGACCTTGTTGTGAGGGAGAAAATCTTCCAACATTTCTGTTCAAGCCACTTCAATTCCCTTCTACAAGTGACTTTAAGGACAAAAATTCCCCTCTCAGTTACAACCTGCAAACCCCATTGCACAGATACCATGGTGATAGGTGCTATTTAAAAACCCAAGACAGATTAATAGAGTGTAAGTGGAAGCAGAATTTGGTACAGAAGAGGGCTCTACCAGTCATCTTATTCCGACACGTACTGTTATCCAGGCGAGACTCATTACATCCTCATTTGGTCTCTTTTCCTGACATTTGTTAAGCAATCTTTGGTGCAGAGAGACAACGTCTGTCTTTCGAGGGCCCAAAGATTTGTGAGGTATTAGGAGCTCTACCAATAGCAGATGGAGTTGCTTTCCATTGTGATACTTCTCCAGCCATTTCTCCCCAGGAAGCTAAGGTCTTTTAACAGTAGTTCTATGTCTTTCAGGAGAGAATATGAATTGAAAATAGATCTGATAACCCTGAGCTTTCTTCATTATAAATTAGATGAAAACCTAAAGATTTGATATCACTCTGGGCCAGCTGAGATTGAAAAGATGGATCCTGATAAACTGTTGAGACACAAGATTATTTCATTTTCAAGTGTATTTTGCAAGGCGGAGAGCACCACAGGGCTGGAAGCAGCTGAACCATGAGAAACATTTCAAGTATCCTACAGAGTGGGGGGCAGCCTGAACCACCGAGAAAAAAAATCAAATTGAACCAGAATTATTTTTTTAAAAAGATCAAAAAAAAATCTAGTTTTTTTTTTTTAAAAAACTACATGCCCACACAGAGATTTTGGCTCTGGTATTTCTATTCGTATTTCTAATCTCTTATGTTTCCACATCATTTCTGACCCAAATAAAACCAGGAAGCACTGGAAGTCTCATGAAAGCTTCTTTGCATCAGATGTCCAGCCAAGAGAGGTTTGAATAAGCATCTGAATCTACAAGTCTCTATATTTCCCCAACACTAGACACAACTTAGTACTGGTACAGCTCTATTGCAGATAAATACCAATGTATTTTTGGCAAGGAAATTGTTGGAATCAGCACACTATCCTTATGGTAACTGCAATGGGTTTGGACACAGAGACCCCCTCGGGACTGTCACCTGACATGCTGGAATTACCTCGGAGCCTGTTTTCCCTGCCAGCTTGGGACTCCAGAACCCTGCCTTGTTGAGCCAGACACACTAGCCTGCTGCAACACAGACCCAGGTCTGGTCCACGCCCCCAAAGCTGCAGACTTTAACCAAAAACTGCTCAGCAGGTCACCTATCTCCAGCACCCAGTTCCCAGTGGGATCCAAACCCCAAATAAAGCCATTTTATTCTGTATAAAGCTTATACAGTGTAAACTCAAATTGTCCACCCTCCATAACACTGATAGAGAGATACACACAGCTGTTTGCTCCCCCAGGTATTAATCACTTACTCTGGGTTCATTAATAAACAAAAGTGATTTATGACGTATAAAAACTAGGATTTAAGTGGTTTCAAGTAATAACAGACAGAACAAAATAAGTTATCAAGCAAAATAAAACAGCACACAACACGTAAATCTAAGCCTAATACATTAAGAGCCTGAATACAGGTAAATCTCACCCTCCGCTGTTCCAATAAGCTTCTTTCACAGACTAGACTCCTTCCTAGTCTGCACCCAAGCCTTTCCCCTGGTACAGACCTTGTTAGTTCCAGCAGGCATCTTAGGTGAAAAGCTGGGGATTTCACATGACTGGCACCCGTCTTGTCCTCCACCCCCTTTTATAGATTTGGCACAAGGCAGGAATTCTGTGTCTCTCTGGGTCCGCACCCATTCTTTTAAGTGGAAAATTACCAGGTTTATAATAAGCAACAGAGGGTCCTGTGGCACCTTTGAGACTAACAGAAGTATTGGGAGCATAAGCTTTCGTGGGTAAGAACCTCCCTTCTTGCATCTGAAGAAGTG